CCTACTACATCACAACATTTTTCAATTTATATGTAAGCTGATTTCTCCTTCTCATAGTTGTACAATTTAATGTACTGTGTGTTAACTTCTTCTACTGCTTCCTGCAATTTCAATGCCTATATAGCATGTCCAATCAGATACTGTATCATCAGATATGTAACACTGCATGGAAACAGTTAATGTGCCATGTTTACTCCCTTTACACTTCCATTACAACTCCCAGGACTGGAATGTTTGGAATACCTATTTACTTTGTTTTACATAACTGTGAATATTTACCAGATAAGCTTCTAACCTCCTCTTACTCTGTTTTTCTGAATTCAGTGAGTCATTTTTACTCTTTTATTCTCATTATCTGGAAATAATCAAAGGGAAACTGTATCCTGAATCAAGTGCCAGTATCTGAATTCAGCAGCTCTTCTTCCTACATTAACAAGGAAACAGAAAAGAAATAAAAGGAAATCTGATTTTCTGGATCTTTTTTATTTTTTTCCCTGGTATTTTTAAATACATTCTCTGCCACTTTATTTTTCTTCTTTATTAAAATCCCAAGAGAAAGTAGAGCCTATGCAATTTTTTCAGTATCTTCATTTATTTATTTGACCTGGAGCTAATCTTGAATAACAACAGACAGGCTCTTAAAACATATTTCGTTATCTGAGAAAGTAGATTCCTGTAGGTTCTAAATCCATCCCAGACACCATTTGGGCAGAGTGAGTGGCGAGAATTATCCTCCCCCCCCTTCCCCACCTCCCCAAGTACTATTATGAGTTATCCGGCACATAATGTTAGGTGCCACATTGCTGATGCTTTCATTAGAAAACAAAAATCTTGAAATGTTGGAGGTAGGTTCAGCTATTGCCAAGCAAATTCTTCTGGTTCTTTTAACGTACCAGAGCAGTAGAGATACAGATTTTTCCTCTTACCAGTTTGCAAAGCAGCATTGGCTGAAATTTTGGTTTCAGCCCCCTTCTCTTGTCCATCATTTTCTTTTTAATCAAGGAGAACTTGTTCTATGCTGGAGATGAAAATAAAGCTCAATATTTGTTAGAAATCTGAAATAACCTACCAAAATAATTGAGACTATTAAGATCAAATGGAAGAACGCTGATTGCTAAATAAGGCTGAAAAATTAGAGTCCAGTTGTGTCTGAAGCAGAGTTTATGAAATGACTGCCTCACTGCAGACACAGAGAATCTTGACAGGAAACATGGTGAGATTGTCTTTGCTGGCTAGTTGGACGTGACTGCCAGCACGGGTAGTGCTCTATCTAATTCCATCCATTGAGGTACTTCTCTGGAATGCACCATCTCAATATCTGAGCACCACACAGTCATTAATACATTTACTTTCACAGCACCCCCAGAAGAAAGGTAATTATTACTACCAGGGCCATCCTTACCCGTATGCAGAATATGCAGCTGCATAGCACACCTGAAAATTTGGGGCAGGACTGGGTCTTAATGTCCACCCAGCTGCCTCTTCTTATCCCAGTAATGCATAGGGCCCCATAAATCCTAAGGATAGACTGATTGCTACTCTAGTTTTATAGATGGAAAACTGAAATACAGAGAGACTTACCTAAGATCACACACTTTGGCAGAGAGAGAACTGAATCCAAGTTAACCAAGTTCCAGTTTAATACTCTTGTTACAGGACTACCGTTGTGTATGGAAAACTTCTTGTGAACTTCTTGGCAGAAGAGGTGTGCTAAGCTGGCTTTGCTCAGTCTCTGTCTTCTCTTACTTTGAGAGCTTTTCTGCTCCTTTAACTTGCATTTGTGCTCCATCCTACAGTGAATGAGAGCACAGGGGAGTAGGACAGTCAAATGTAAATAGTTGAGAAGAATTAAATACAAAAACTCAAGAACCTTTGAGATATTTGCACTGGATTATACTTTGATCACCACTAGAATAAGGTAAACTCTTCATAGCAAACTGGGTAGTCTGACAAACTTAGTTACTGTCTCTTATTTCTAAATATTCATTAATAGGCTTTCATTTTGAAATATTTATTTGTTGGATTTATTAGACAAATGATTTATGTAACCATATTTCAGCCTACAGTATCAATTGTTCCCAAATTTTTCATTACACCTAATACTTTGAATGTTCACTGTTTGCACTGGTGATCGGTTACTGTTGGTTCTTGTTCTGTTTTGTTTTTTTATTGGAACAAAATGGTTAGGAATATCTTTTTACAGTACTCACCTAACTGAATTCTGAACTGTGAGATTGCTGAATAAATTCACTATAGATTTGTTAATTACCATTCTAAACAACTGATACAACTTTAATGTAAATCTTGAGGGCATGACAAATTCTCTGATTCAGGGATGTGCAATTTTCTACACAATTTTATTCCAATCAGTTGTATTAGGCATCTGACTGCATACTGGCTGTGAGAGGTAACCAAGATTAAAATGAAGATGCATTCTATGAAGCCAAGAGACACCAGGACAATGAAGTCCCGCTGAATAATATACAAGCATATGTATTGTTTTCAGACTTTCAACAGTCCTGCTTGACCTGAATATCTTTTCTTTTTGTTGCCTACAGTCATATTTCACTTCTGCTTGCTTTATAAAGGTGATATCCCAGAAGCTTCATAGCAGAAGCATGTTAAATGCTGAAAGGTATCCTGACTATTGCTAACAATTCACAGAACTGACCACTGTGTAGAGGTGTATTCTAAAGAGACCATCTTTGATCATTGAGGGTATGTCTACACTACCACCCTAGTTCGAACTAGGGTGGTAGTGTAGACATACCCTCAATGATCAAAGATGGTCTCTTTAGAATACACCTCTACACAGTGGTCAGTTCTGTGAATTGTTAGCAATAGTCAGGATACCTTTCAGCATTTAACATGCTTCTGCTATGAAGCTTCTGGGATATCACCTTTATAAAGCAAGCAGAAGTGAAATATGACTGTAGGCAACAAAAAGAAAAGATATTCAGGTCAAGCAGGACTGTTGAAAGTCTGAAAACAATACATATGCTTGTATATTATTCAGCGGGACTTCATTGTCCTGGTGTCTCTTGGCTTCATAGAATGCATCTTCATTTTAATCTTGGTTACCTCTCACAATCAAAAATGCTATTGGAATAGGAGGGAAAAGGGGAGGAGGAAAGGGGATCTAAATGGTGAAAAAATCATGTATTGTCCTGGCAGCCAGGGGAAGAGAACTAGGACAGGACAGAGCTGTCACACCACAGCCTGGCCCTCCCTCATGGCCAGAGAGAGAGCCGGGGCTGCTCATCCCCAAAGAGGGAGGTTCGTGAGTGTAGTGAGAAGGGAGTGCTGCCTCCTAGGATAAGTATATATGTGCACGCGCGCGCGCGCACGCACACACACACACACACACACACACACACACACACACACACACAGAGTAAATGGAAAATAATGGTGCTCTGTGATAACTTGGGTGGTTAACCATAGATTCCAATAGGATGGCTACTTTTTACTTTTGGACACTTGAGTACAATTCAGATGAGATACTTTTGTACTTTTACTCATGTAGTTTTCCAGAATAATACTTTGACTTTTACTTAATTCATTTTTTTCAAAGTAACAGTACTTTTACTCAAGTAACTTTTTTGGGGTACTTTTTCCACCACTGACCAATACAGATACATGCTAAGAAAAGCTTTTAGGAGTGTGCTACTTCTAGACAAGAGAGGGCTTTGTTGCCTAGTAAATAGAAAGACTTCTGCAAGACCTTTGAAAGTGCTGCTTCTGGCCTACCTTCTTCACTTTAGACTTGTAATTTGGGCTTGTTACATATATGATTATCAAATCTGGATGATTACTATATCATCATAATAACAAATGCACACTAGTCTCACTACTATTGAAGTCAATGGACATTTTGACACTGACTTCAATGACAGAAAGATCAAACTCTATAAATTGAGTAATGGTGTGTGTGAGTAAGAAAAGGACGGCAAAGGAAAGTGCATGGTTATTTGATATGAACTGAGCTCAGGATACAGAGCTGTCCCTCATGGCACAGCCAGGCTTTCTGATCCTGTGATGCCTCCAATTCAGTATATACCTGGAGCATCCTACTACCCAATTCCTGTTCACATTGAGACATGTAGCATGTGTAGGAGTTATGAATGTTCCATCCCTTTTCTTATAAAAAAGATATTTTTGCAAGTTCTCTCTACTAGTTGAAAAGACTGCAGAAAGTAATAAGTCCAGCTTTAATTAAGGTCTTCCCAAGTAAATTTTGACATGTTTCTGGCTCATCATTAATGACAAACAAACAAGCAAACTTTCTTCATATAGAAATGCAACAGAAAGGAGGAGGAAAGGAGCAAACTGATTATTGCTGGTAGGTTTTCTTTGGCAATCTGGGTTCTAGCTATCTCAGACAAAATATATAGTGATAAAAGAACTCAGCCAGCTGCACGTACAGATCCATGGAAAAAATTCAACCCAAACACATAACATTTAGCAAAGCCTAAGCAATTGAAAAGTGGATCTTATAATGGACATTGTAAAATGTCGATGCCAGCTCTGCCTATAACAAACTGGGAGGAGGTTGGTTTGAAATTTGATAGCTTCCTCTCTTTGTTTGAATGCTGCTGAACTTATACCATTTTGACTGGGTTTTTCCTCACTCTTATTTATAAATTAACAACAGATAAAGCTTATTTTCTTATTTCTAGGTACCATACCTGTTTGTAGATTGGCAAAATATATCATAACCAAGATTTCCTTCATTCTTTCATTCTGCAGCACTACATCATCTTGACATTAACACAAAGGACAAGTGCAAAACCTTTTTAGCCAAGCATCTCTGTAAAGTGCCATTTAAAAGCCTGGGAACTTGTTTCTCTCCATTATAAACTATAAAAGGAGCCAAGAAAATGAAGTGCAGACCCTTGAAAGTTTCTCAAGGCATGTCTCTGTAGGATGTCAGACATATGTTTTTCTGGGACTGCACCAACATCCTAGTGGGATGGTGGGTAAATGTTTTGTATAATGCAAACGTTCAATAAAGGAATCCTTTGTTGTCATTTGCAGAATATGCATTAATGTAGGCCTGAACCTAAGTGTCTTCCTAACTGGTGCACCTACTGTATTGTCTTCATTCAGTATGTGTGTGGTTTGAAATTTTTCTGAGTGCACGCACAGTAGAAATGTATGTAAAGTTTCAAAACAATCTTAATCAAATTTCAGATATCTGTTTCACTATTTTAAGTCTGTGGAAATAGTACAGGAATTTGTGCACTGTTGAGGCACAAATTGTTTCAGAGATAAGACGAGTCAAAATACTGCTGGGGAAATCTGAAAATGAAAAACAGAACTTTTAAAAATGCATATAATTGCAAATCCCTATGTGAATTACTCCAGGCTTGGGGGTGGAAATATCTTAGGATGAAATGTGATGTCAAATTTGGCTATGTCTAGAGTGCAGAATTTTTCCGGGATACCGGAAAGATTTCTGAAAAAACAGGCACGTTCTTTTGGCATCCCTGTATTCCTCGTTTTATGAGGAATAAGGGATCTTCCAAAAGAGGAGGTTTTGCGAACATTTGGCCCTGTATTGATGGGCCAAATGTTGGAAAAGCCTCTTCCAAAAATCCAAGCAGAAAAAGGTATGCAAATTGCTGTCACAATTTGCGTATCTTTTTCCAGGAAAAAAAAACCTCACAGTGTAGACATAGCCTCTGAGGTAGTTTGGTTTTAATGACGTTGAAAATCAGAGTTCTAAAGAAAAAAAAAACATTAAGTTTGGGGGGATGTTATGATCTAATTTGGTGAGTTATAAATAAGCTAATAAATGACTTGGTGAGAGGATTCTAATTCTGATATCTTGATCCACCATTAAGGTTAATCAGCATTTACCTTATTACTATGGTCTCCTGAGTAAAGTTGATACTCATCTCATACAAATATAGTTTATCAGTTGCATGAGAAATTAATGACACCCTTTGACATTTCTTAGAGGTTATTATTGTAATTTTATGCATATTTTTTCTTTGTTCACCACTGTCTTTGTTTCCTAGTTTCATCTCTTTATTCATCTTTTTTAAATTTATGAAACATAATTGTACCCCAGTATTCAGTATTTTAAATAATTTTTATGTTATTAGACTCTCAAAGTTCTAGGCAAAATTTCACTTTATTACAATATATAGTTTATAAGACCTTCTGATGATTGTATACATTCAAACGATCTATTACAAAGCATTTCTGTGTGTATTTTCTGATTTTTACATGATCTATGGGGGAAGCATATTAAGGAATTAACTCTAAAATATGAAGACAAGAATAATCAAATACATTTATTTTAAAGTAGCAGCTCTTGAAAATATTACTTGCAATGTTTTCAGATTTTCAGAATGTATATAATCTCAGTAACTGAAGGTTTATCAATAATCATTTATCATGGTAGACTATGGGAATGATCTGTATGTATTTTTGACATCTTTACTACTCTATTTATTCCACCTTTCTTGACCAAATAAACTGGTTGCTTTGTCTCAGTTTTCCCAGCTAAATGTCTCAAAAGGCAGGAAGTATGTATCTAGGACACAAAAAATCCCCTCCTTTAGCAGTGTAAATCAGGAACAACGTCACTGAAATCACTGGTCTAATACCAATGTTAAAAAAAAGATTTTTGCTCAATGCCTATAGCATAGTCACCAGTATTGCTTGAAATTTATCCTTCATCTTCCAAATTTCCTATGTGTACAGGTCTGTCTACCACAAGCTTTGCACATTGACTCAGCTCCACCTTTTCTGAAATCCTCACAGAGGCCCTCATCTATTTTTTATTTGATTTTTAGAACTTCCTTCTCTGTGGCCTTCTCAAGCCCCCTAACTTTCCCATATAGCTCCACATTATCAACATTCTCTTTCCTACTCTCTATTTTCTAATACTTCTTCATTTCTTTCTTCATCTGCTCCATTTTATTTTTCATTTAAGCTCTGTGACTGTATTACTTAATGTTGCAAAGCATTAGGATAAGATTCACCTATGGAATATACTCTGAGAAACAAAGTTGTGTTACAGTATATTGTATTGTAACAGTCACAAGATTTGAGCATGGCAGGCACTGTGAGTTGAACAAAGCCATCCTGACTGGCTGCCTGCTGAGAATGCATCATGTAAGTAGTGTGGAAAAGAAAATGCCCATAGCACTGTTTGCATGCCACCTATCTGCCGACAAATGCAATACAGAACTCTGTTCTTAGTTGGGTCTGCACCAAGTTGCAAAATTTGTTCCAATCAGATTTGTCCAAATGCTTTTTAAAAATAATACAGCTTCCTCTTTGACATGTATAAGGCCCTCACTAAATTACCAACATAATGCCTGACATCATAGGTTATTCATCAATTAAATGTGTGTGTGAGAGAGAGAGAGACACTTGTGGCTAAAGAATCTGCATTGAAGACTTTAAAGACAATCATAACGGTGATAAAATAGTGTTTTAGTGGGAGAGATGGGATTTATGCAATAACTGTTGTAACAGACCAAAGAGCCTTAAGAAATTATCAAACACAAATATGATCATTTTACATCTCACATATGCCCTAGAGGCTGGGCTCATATAGTAACATCTCACACAATCACCAAGATACATTTTTTTTATCTGACAATGAACAAGATCAAAATATTTAAACACTGACAATCTGCATTTTAGTGGGCAAATGTTATGTGCTTCAAAAAAATGTCTGTTCTGCCTGCAGGCATGGAACTCGTTGCGCTGGAGAAGTGGCAGCCATTGCAAACAACTCACACTGCACAGTAGGAATTGCCTTTAATGCCAAGATCGGAGGTACGTGAAACATTATTATCCCAAGTACAGTTTCTACATGGTGACACGTGGGAACCTTTTTCAACATGAAGTAGAAATGTGTTTGCCTAACAATGTTAGCTGTGTTGACAGGTAAATGCTTCTGAAATGGATATAGTTAAATACAGTTACTGGAAAGCCTTTTGTATGGTACTTCAGAACTGCTCTCCATAGCTCTTTAAATATGCATAGAAAATTAAGAAGCAAGAATTCTGATTAAAATATTGAACAACCCAGAGTTCTCACAAACTTACTATGTGTTTTTGGGCAAGTCACTTACTCTCTGTCTGTCTGTGTTATTGGGACTTTTCACAACATCTGTTATTAGGATCATAATTACCCACCTCAGAGACCTGTTATGAAGATCTTTTTTATAGTGTTTGTAAAGCACTTTGAGATCCTCTGATAAAAGTACTAAATGACAATGTTTAAATCCTCCATTCAGGGGCAGATGATGGTTTTGGGGTGCCCTGGGCAACATTGTTTTGCGGGGCCCCGGGCAACATACTTCCGCGGGGCTCCCCCTTTGCCATGGTGCATGCGCAGTGACGCCATGCGCATGGCTTTCTGAAGCACGGGGCCCTGCCCTATATCCGCCCCTGCCTCCATTAATAAGTCAGGTTTGACTGCATATAAAGACTTACGTTTGTGATTTTGGTGTACCATATTAGTTATATTCAAAAAGAGGCAGTGTTCTCTAGTGACTAAAGCACTGGGCAAGGACTGTGTAAATTTGGCATCTATTCTCAGCTCTGCCATTGGCCATGTGGGACAGATCATTTCACCTCCCCAAGCCTAAGTTTCTCTTGCTCTAAAATGGAGCTAATATTGATTTCCTTTTTAAGGCACTATGAGACCTAATGTTATATGAGAGATGGGTATTATGACTATTACATCTTAAAAATACATGAATCTATCTATAAAGAAATAATTTGCCACTCTGATGTGTGGTACCATCACCTTCTCTTCTGTCTGTTCTTCAAAGAGGTACATTATTAATAATTATTCATATTTTAACCACTGAGGTTCAAAGTACAATAAAGTAAAGTAAAAATATTCACCGGTGTTACTAAAATGGATGCATAACAACATTTTTTAAAGTATTAAGGAGGGGCAAGAACAACATTGGCATCTAATGTGACCCAAGAAATACATCCCTGCATGTATAGCAGGAAAATGAAAGTCCCCCGTGTTCTTGGTAAAAGATGTGGAGTGTTTTCCCATCCAACTCATCAAGACACTCTCCCAAGAAAAAAAAAAGAGTTTGTCAGGCCACATCTCCCTAATGACTTTTTTGAATGAGCTAGAACATGATTATCCCCCACTGCCCAGCTTTTGTTCCATTATAGGGAAGGTACAGAGCAGACTGCTGCTAACTCTTAGTTCCTCACTGATCAGGAGGGGATTGTTCTTCCATTGTCAGGAATATTTCTCTTATTACTATAGCTTAGAGGCAGGGAAGGTCTTGGAAGTCTCCCCCCTCCTCAAAAGAAGAATCATGAAGCCTCCATCCAGCAAGAGAAAGACATGAATTTGTTTGGGTCTGCCTGGTTTGATTGATGAAATATGAGAAATGGGTAAGCGCAAGGGAAAAAAGAAACTTGTCCCAAGGCTATATTGGAGTTATGGTGAGTGGAGTGTGGGAAAAAATTGTATACAGGACACATGGGATTAACTATGTGTGAGGGAGAAGGGACAAACATACTGAAAGTTAATGGTAGAGGTTGCACCAGAATAATGTGATTATTTCTTAAAATGTATTATTATGGTGGATGAATGAGGTTTGAACCAGTTTGTTTGTGTGGTTGATTGGTTGGTTTGGGAGATGGCCATTTTTGAGGTTGACTCAGGGGTGGGTGGGTAGATGGAATTTAGTATATGTAAATAAACTGTACAAAGAATAACAAAATTAGGCAACCTTTGGACTTCTAAAATGTTCACCAGTAATCAACCTTAAACAATGATACAGACATTTTGTGAAGACATAACAGAAATGAGTTGTATCAAATACTGTTTCTTGAGTAAAGGGGGAGAAATGCTGAATGTGTCCCCCATCCCATGTAACCATTAACATTCTCACCCTGATTAGAAGAAAGACCACAGCTGTACAAAGTGCGCAAAATGTCAGGGAAACTGGGATTAACCAGCTGTGGTGAATGAAGTAACTCCTCAGCATATTGGTACAAATTTAAACATGTGCACAATGCTGTACTTTTCTGACATAGGTGCACAAATCAAGAATGTGCATATGCATATGGACTTCAGTCCAACAAAACACTTGGTATTTGCCTAACTTTAAACATGTGTATTAGCGCTTTGTTTGATTGTGGTGCTAGTTACTGAGAAAACATTTCTTGCTTCCTAACCATGGCATGTGATCAGAGTATGCCCTAAAGAATAAGACTGCATTATAGTCATTTATTCCATTCACTTGTTCACAGTCTAAGCCATTTCAATAGATTTTTTTAAACCGTGGCTGCTTAATTAAGACATGTTTCAGTTCTTGTAATATAGTGCGAAGATACTATCTATGTTTCTGTTGGTGAACAGACCTGTGCATTGGAATACTGTTCAAAAACTATTCAGCACTTTGCATTTGATGAAACCATAGGGACATAGAAAGAAAGGAGATGTTTTGTCCCTTCTTTCTTCAGAAAACAACAGTGTTTTCAGATTCATTAACTGGTGATTCTCTGTCCTACAATAGAGGCCATCTGGGAATGCAGAAGTGTAAAATGGTGATATTTAACCCACCGTGGAGATGTGCTCTGTTCTTGGGAATACTAGAGGGAGAGCTGAGAAAAGTTATTGCACCAAAGAAAATAAAAGCTTTCATCTGAATAGCTGTGGAGAAGGAAGAAAAATATATTACTCAATCAAGAGACCAGGAAAGGCTGGCCACCTCCTTCCTGTAGATACTGTGAGACTTTCTTCGGCATGGCAATGCTGGATATTAAAGGCATTCTTAAGCATCATGAATGTGTTTAGTGCTGCAGGGCAGCCCCGATGAATTCAGCCATGTTAGCAGAACTATAACTCGTTTCAAACATTGTTTAAAACTAATTCAGGCTACTGTGATTTAAACAGGTGTTAGCTGGCCAGAGAGTGAGAGTGGGGAGATAGCCACATCAAAACGAATTTTAATAATTTCGCTCTGGACTAGAAACCAAACTCATCCTTTGTTGTGCAAGTCCACTGACAAGTGAAGGCAGAGCCACATCCAAAATGTTTAGAATGTGATAGGGGCTGCCATGAGTATGTTTCTTAAACACTGTTTGAAAAATGGTTATCTGCCCTAGCCAGGCAAACCATGTTACATTTGAAACCATATTAAACCAAACCAGTGTTCAGGTAACCGCTTCATTTCCTGTGTAGATGAGGATTTAAAGAGCCTCTTTTGGTCTCTTATACCCTCCTTAGAGACACACCTGTTGTCTTGGTATGAATCTGGCTAGAGGGCAATATTCCCGACCTCAGCCAGAACATGATCCCTGGGCCCAAGAGAGGTAGAGAGGAAAGAAAGGCAACTGGAAAAAAAATCCTTTTCATGAGATTCTATCAGCAGAAGAGCCACTATTAATGATGTTTGTGATGGAAAGTCATTTGCAATATATCCACAGGTAATGCTCACCTGTTTTCCAAGTGCTTTGTCCTCTTCCTCTCTTTTATCCATTCACACCAGAAACGGTGACCATAAAACAGATCAGGGAACAATTTCCTAGGAAACCTCATTCTCCTCTCTCAACAGTTCAAATAAGGAGTAAATCTGCTGACATCATTGAACCTGTGCTGACAGGAGACCATGAGAGTGAGATCAGAATCTGGATCAGTTCTTTTGCTGGTTGGAAGATAATTCTTGTGTAGAACTCATACATTGTGCCCATAGTTCTTACTCCTGTTAGCTATCGCTGAGCCTCTCCTAGCTGAGCTAAGGAATGCGAGTATTTGAATGTTTGCCAGTGGCTTTCTACAGCACTCATATATAGCAAGTTACCACCTACAGGGTTTTGAGCTTTCTCTGTTTGCTATAAGAAGGAACGCGCTAGCTGCTTGTTGTTGTTTCTGCCTTATTGTGGCAGTTGCAGAGCATCTGTGGGGATTTGGGTGCTTAGTTATTTGGCTGGGCTTGAGTCCTGATGGGAAAGCAGTTATACTAAATTATGGCAGAACAGATGTAGATTGTCTTCAACTGACAAGGAATTTATTCAGCTGTTCCTTTAAGCTTAAGTGAGGCACTGATTAAAAACAAATATCGGAAAGGAAAACTTGCTTTCACTTAATTTTCACATGCTTGTTAGAAGTTTGTGCTGATTAAAATTCCACTGATATTTTGACATTTATCACAAATATTTGGAAAAGTTTAAAGAATTCTGAATTGTTTAGTGGACAGTCTGGAAATTAAGTCGGCTAATTGCCTTTGGGGTAGTTATAATGCTATCATCACAAGCAAAAACCATTCTGTGATGGGGCAAAAAATTAACAACTAATGCACTAGTTTAAAAATGAAGTAACAATTTAAAATAGCTAATGGTGGGTTCATTGATAAAAGTGATATTTTATCTCTAAATATGGGGAAAAAGAGACTAGTGCACATTCCATGACCCTTGGCAATCTGTTTTTGTATTTTGCCATTGTAATATTAACATTACAAATGTAGTCAGTTCTTTCAGATACTAAGGATAGATCTGGGTTTTATAATTCACTGTCATTAGTAAAGCATGTTGCATTGTTTTAGTAACAAGTGAAATTCTCTTCTGTTTCTTTTATGTTCTGTTTAAATATAGTACACCTTTTGTTGTTTTAGTCTGGAGCCAAATATATTGATATGCCTGAAAGAATGAGAACACACCTTCTACCCCTCATTAACTTTTTAAGATTGCTTGGGAGGAAAAATAAAACCTGAGATTAACAATGTTGTTTAAACAGCTTTTTTTATGAAGATCTTTATGAGATCACTGTTTGGACAAGTTCTTTATCGTACAGATTCTGAGGCGTTTTTGTGTGAATTTAGAAATATGATCACTTCTCAGATTCAGATAAATTAGAATGCAAAAAAATAGATGCTCTATCGGCAAACCAATCTATATACTTTGGAAACTAAGGCCTTGGAATTTAATTCAGTGCAAATTCATGAACAGAGCTTTGTGTTCTTATAATTAAAATATTTAAATTTGATTAATAATAATGTTCCTTTTAAGTGGGAAAAGACTTCAGATATGCTAATTGTGGACATTAACATAAACATATTCGATCTAATAAAGTTACATACTAAGTCTTATTTAAAAATGAAAATCTTTAATCAGATGTCACATTGACTTGAAGGTTATCCTCTCATTGCTTCTACTTACTAAGGCATGTGAAAGTTTTGAACTGGCATCAAGTGGTTTCTCCCTCAAGATTAAATTATATTGTGATCTTTGGATTTCAGCAAGAATATTTATTTAAAATCCCCAAATATTCTCAGTTTACAGCCTTCAGCCGATTTTATCACGTTTTCACAAAACACCGGGCTGTCAAATGAATATCCACATTACAAACAAGGGTCCTTAAGTTTGTGAAATACTACTGTTTACTGAGGATTGGATCTTGTGACCCCTTATTTATGCATAACTGCCATTGGCATACAACTGTTAATAAAACTGCATTTCAGAATTAAGTTTTATGTACTTTCTTTTATTTTTAAATGAAAAATATAAATGTTCTCAAGTTGAAATAATATTTTTAATGTTTTCCCCAGAATTTAAGTTTTTGAGCACAGATGTTTCCTAACGCTCAAGAGAAACAGACTTTACAATTCTTACAATCAATAAGAACATAAGGACTGTAATCCACAAAGACTAGCTTTTCACATAGCAGTTTTTCAACTGTGCTTCATTAGTCTTAATTCTCACATTCACTACCTCTCTTGTTTTGAAGGAGTGAGGATGCTGGATGGTGATGTTACAGACATGGTGGAAGCAAAGTCTCTCAGCCTGAATCCACAACATATACACATCTACAGTGCCAGCTGGGGTCCTGATGATGATGGCAAGACTGTGGATGGACCTGCTTCTCTAGCACGTCAGGCCTTTGAGAATGGCATCAGAACGGTGGGTTTAAAAAACACTATGTCATGGAATCATTCTGCGTGGATGCATGTGTACAAGCTAGGGAAAAGTAAGGCTCTCAAGATACACTGCTGATAAGAAGCATAGCTTTGTTTAAAGAGAAAATAGCACTCAAACCTCTATCCCCTCCTGAGAATTAGATCAATGGCTCTTAACTTTTCCAGATGACTGTACCCTTTCGGGCGTCTGATTTATCTTGCATTTCCCCAAGTTTCACCGCACTTAAAAACTACTTGCTTATAAAATCAAACATAAAATACATAAAATACGTCTATACTGCGGAGCTATTTCAGGATACCAGAAATATCCCGAAATAGCTATTCCGCGTCTTTTGTGCAAGCCCATTATATTGAAATAAAACAGGCTTCCTAGTCCAGCATCCCTGTAAACCTCATTCCATGAGGAGTAAGGGATGTTTCAGAATAGCACTCTACTTTCAAAATAAGCTATTTTGAAATTAACACAAAATAAGCAACGCAGTCTGCATAGCTTAAATTACGTGGCTTATTTCAAGCTACGGGTGCAGTGTAGATGCACCCCTACTGAAAAATTGCTTACTTTCTTATTTGTACCATATAATTATAAAATAAAAATATTGTATTTACATTTCAGTAAATAGAGAAGTATAAATAGGTAATTTCTGTATGAAATTTCAGTTATAACTTCTTTGCTAGTGCTTTTTAAGTAGCCGGTTGGAACCTAGGCAAATATCTAGATGAGCTGATGTCCCTTGGAAGCAGAGATGTCCCTAGGAGGATGTGGGGCTTGGAAAAATCCTCCCCACCTACGCTCCACCCCACCTTTTCTTGCCCCTACCCACCGTCAACCCTTCTTCCACAACTGCTCCATCCCCTCCCCAACCTTCTTTCCACCCCTTCCCACAAACCCCCTCCCCCAAGTGATGCCGGGACTGTGTCATTTGGCTTTCTGTCATCATCAGTGAGTGAGATGGTGGGCCCAACTTCTGCTTCTGGAGTCAGTCTCCCCACTAATCTCCCATGCCACCCTGGGCCCCATGTTTCCACATCCCCTGGAAGTGCAGTGCCCCTCAAAGCACGGGCCCTGAGGCAGTTGCCTTGAACCATCCAATAGATGGGATGGCTCTGCCTGGAAGACCTCTTCATACTCCCAGGCAGTTTTGTATTCCCGGTTGAGAACCACTATATGAAAACCATATTAAAATTGTAAACTTGAAGGTCTGACCACTTCGTGGATGTAGTGAGGGACTTTCTAGCAAAAATGACAACTGGCTCTAGATCAGCACAAAATATTTCTTTAAAATGATCGTCAGACCATTTGATTGTTCATTCCATTGTTGAAATACACAATACTGGGGACCAAATTCAGAAAGTGCAACTAATATTTAAGTCAATGAAGGTTGTAACCACTTTCACTAGGACTGAATTTAGCAAAATATAATTAGTAATCACTGTGGAGCATTTGTGCTCATGCAACAATAAAAGACTGTCTTTGCCTTGAACAGCTCGCATTAATTTAATATGCAACAGCAGTTGGTCATAGCGAAAACAAGTGGGAGTGTGTGAGGGAGTCTGATAGTAACAATTATAAGAACATGTAGATGCCTAGAATATCTGTATGCACTACTAGAGGATTTCAAGTCATAAGATGTAAAACACAACATAAAATTGGTATTAGTAATCCCTCCTGGGTACTTGCCTAATATTGAGCACAAGATGGGGAGCCAGGAATTCTCCAGTTCTAATCCTAGCTGTGCCTTGGGCAAGTCACTGAAATCGTCTGTTTCAGTTTACCTTTCTGTAAAATGGGGATTCTGCTGGCTTACCTGTCAGACAGGAATGTTGTAATGAAATATTAGTTAGTACCTATTAAGCTCTTCACTGATGGAAAGCCCTATATGCATACTGAATATTATGATTATTTAATATAAAGGAAATGCCACTGACAAAACTAGTTTTAATTAACCCTAAGACCTGCTGAAATGTAACATGATTGATTTTTTTCAGCAACTGATAGTTCCATTCCATTCAGTTCTGATAGGCACGTGTGCAGCGTATCATGCTTTTACTTAAAGCAGTATATGCAATATAAGGGCCCCCTCAGACAAAGTTCTTATCTGCATACTTAGCTTTAAGCAGGCGAGTAGTTCCAGTGACATTAGTGGCTTAATGTTAAGCACATTATTACATTTTTGCTGGGCCGGGGCCTAAAACAGCTGTGATCTGGATAATCATAATCCTTAAAACTATGGCAACTGTTACAGCACCACCTAATGTATCAAAACACACCTCCGCTGCTGCTCCCCATGCACCATCACTTCTCCATTCAAGTGAAATGTCAGCACTTTATCAAAGTTCCATCACATTCTTCTACTATTTGACAATGATGGCAGTAGACAACAGCAACAAAGCCTCTGAGGGAAGCCAGTGGAACTGCAGGAAGGGGAAGAAATATCTGAATGAAATAAGAAATTGTGTGTGCATAAGAGCAGCATTTCACTGAGGTAATACAATCACAAAAAGTTTATTTCCACTCGTATATTAGAACAACACAGATATTCATTTGCTCTTCATGAGTCTGATCTTCATCTGGCATAAATCTTCAGTGAAGTTAACGTGCTATTGACTATTTCCATTATAGTACAACATCATTTGACTTGTTTCACATAGGTAGCAGCACAAAAGAGAATTTAAATTCACTGTACAGTTATAAATGGATCAATTTATAGGAAGAGTGTGTGTATTTATGCTGAAGATATTTTTTAAATTTTAGAATTAAGAATTTGAAAGTATCTTATCACCAGATCCCTGCACTGACAGCAGCATATGGACACTGTACAGCCAGCCAGCGCAAGCATGCATAGCAGTGTAGACAGTTTAACACAGCTTAGATGAGTAGCGTGCCCTACATGTCTATACCTAGAGTACATACTTTACACAGTTCTCTACATGGCTAGGCAGTGCCTTCAACAATGATAGTGCTATTTCTAGCCATATGGTGTTCCGCTGCTTCCTTGCTACCAGAGCTTTCCCCTCTGCAGTGAAAAGTTCTGTCAATGGGAAAAGCTTCAGCAGTGAGAAAAGGCTCTGATAGGGGGGGAAGGTGGAAAGGCTTCAGCAGCAGGAAGGCAGTGTGGAAAGGCTAGAGTCTTTCACTGCTCCATACTGCTGTGACGTGTGGCTAGCTGTGGTGTGTAGTTACACGTACTCTACACGTCACCATACGTGTAGCCAAAGCTCAAAGTGGCTCAAAGTGACACATATGGTTCTGTTTCTGTGTCTTGTTGCTTTCCATATCAGATGCATTTACTTTAGAAACATAAAGATATTATTGCTAATGGCCAGCCCTGCACACACAGTCTGGCCTCTGAAATTGAAATGAGCTTTTCCCATCTTCCACATCCTCACTAGTAAATAATGACTCTGCAAAAGGTCCGAAAAAGTTCCCTGCTAACATGAACAAAAGTCTAGTGTCTTCCAGTTGTGCCCCGAAAGACAACTCTGAGCCTTCAATAGGTCTTCAAAAGTATGGGTCAGTCAAAACCAATTTTGTTCATGTTTCACTGTAAGAAATAAATTCCAGTTAAACCTATTGTTGTCTCTATGGATGTATCTAGACTACGCTAAACTTTCAAAAAAGCCATGTTTTTCAAAGGAAAAGCAGCTTGTCAACAAACGGGAGGGTTCACTGACAAAACCGTCTCAATTACTTTCACTTCAGAAAGTGCTGCTTTCGAAAGTGAGCTCGAAAGGAGATTAGCAAATTCCTACAGAATTTTCATATCCTCTTTCGAAAGTCTAGTGTAGTCTAGATATGCCCTATAGGTCTAATAGGAAGAAGGGGCAGTACATATCTACTTTTGTCACTAAAATCCGCAGATATGTCTGAATGAATGAAACAGATCTGTTGAGTTAAAAGTGGTTGACAGAGTGTGTGTACTGTCTCTTTAAAATTAGCAGATGCCAGTCAGGATAGCTTTATAGAATGCCCTCAGGCAGAAGCTCTATAGTGAGTCAGAGATGCTGTTTTCCTTATTCTGTTTAATATCCTTACATCTTTGGTGTTTGAAATTGCTTTGTACATTGAAATATGACAATCTTGATTTTATAAGGTGATTTTTTAGATCACAAGGTTTGAACAAATTACTAGTTAGGAACAATGCCAAATCCTCTGATTTACAAAAGCACTCATAATAATTGTGCAAGCAAAGGTAGGCTGGCAACTACACACACAATTTTGCACACAGATCATGGCCTTTATTGTTAAAAATACTGGTCCTAGACAAAAATAACAAATGGTCCGGTAGCACTTTATAAACGAACAAAACAAAGTTCTACCAGACCATTTGTGGGTTTTTTTCTGTACAGGCTAACTCAGCTACCCCCTGAAGCTTCTGATCCTAGACAGTCACTACAGCAATGAATCGCTGATACAGGAATATGGTGGCACTGGGAAAGATGGCAGATTTGTTTTTCAGATGCATGTAGCAGATCTGGACATGAATTCTGTGTTAGTCCTCTCTCCCCATGCTTGCATTAACATCAATGGAAGATGTGCCTGGGAGGGCTATTGAGGCAAGATCCTTTAACTGAGTCTGAGAGGAAACAGTGCACAATATGTTTATTTAAGAAAATTACAGGTGCTGCTGAATAATGATTTTGATTAAAATGTAATTAAACTGAATGATCCTTCTTTGTTGAATTTACAAAACAAAAGGGAAATGGGAATGTCTTTTCAAGAATCACCACCTCTTATTCCGGCCACGTAGATGATGATTTTTGAAAACATATCCAAATTTTCTTTAGTTTGTATTATTCCA